TCTAAAAAAATATAAAAAACAAAGAAACATTAAAAAACTTTAGCTTAAAACCTTTCTCTAACCACTTGATATTTAAACTTGTAATTTTGCAAAAGAATTCAAAAAATGCTAAAGAATATAAGTCCTATATCTAAAATTATTTTTTATATTTACTTTCTTGAGTAAATTAAAGAAACGTGTTTTTTTTGTAAATTATACATATAAAATTGGGGTAAATCATTTTATTTGATAAGTATGTTATTATTTGTAAGCAATTTTAAAGGAACATGTCCTATGACTGATATTGGCTAATTAATAATTATTCAATTCTATTATATCTCAGATATCAAATTAAAGAATACTGTAGTCTAGACCAATCAGCGCTGATTAGTAATGCCAGACAAATCCAAAGTGTTATCTGAAACAAATTGGCATTTGAAACACAACAAATCTAAAAATAAACATGGCACAAAATCTGATCTATTACTTCATCATAACATCCACCACTGCGGATAATTAATTATTTATTATGATATATGTGTACATTTTAGATAATAAATTAATTATTGAATACATATAATTTTTGTAAACCAAAATTGATGAATATGAAAATTATTATACAGAATAAAACATTGTTCAATATTACTTTTTAAACATAACCCAGACTAAATATCATTGTTCAACTTGCACCCTTCAATTTCCCTAAGTTTCGCCACTTTCAAGGTTTACGAGAATTCTAATTTGTCCAACTATTCCTTTTACTTCTTTCAGTTCACCAATCATATCAGATTTCACTTCCTTTAATTCATTCTTAATGAATTCAACATTAACCTCACCCAATGCATCTCGGTATAATTGTTGTCTCCATCCTTGAACGGAATCTAAATGACTTTCATAGTATATTAAGTGAGGAAACCATTCTGCATGATAACGTTGTGAAGGTGTAAGGAAATATAATTCGATTTCTGCAATTACTTGGGCTCGTTGACGTAGCCAAGCTTGACGACCCTTTCTAAGAGACGCATTAAATACTTCGATTATTAAACCTGTAGAAGAAAAAAGTCATTGTAAAAAAACCTTGTGCAGAACATTTTGTTTTATTTTTTTATTTTTTATTTTTTATTTTGAATTAACTTACCGATGAGCACATTCAACAATATAATTACAGTTATAAAGTCTATTATTATTATTATTATTATTTTAAAAAAAAAACATTATTAGCGCAATCTCAAAAACATAATGTAACAAATTTCATTGATATGATATACTTACTGAACAGTACCATCATGCAAAGCCCCGCCCATTCTGGATCATAAACTGATAAACCATCCCATCCTATACCCAAAAATTTGTATGTAGAGAATATTGACCAAGGGAAATATGTCCACCATACATTTGGTGATTGACCGAGATCTAATTTGCCAATTATTTCATTACTAGTTGTATTCGTTAAAGTACCAGTAAAATTTGAGACCGTTACTCCTTCATTATTTCGAAGAAGTACAAACAATGCATTTGCAAAGCCCTAGTTGTGGACAAGAGATTTTATGTTTAATTCGCAAACATGAAGAATTAGAAAATTTATGATAAACCACTTACGACAACCATAAATGCTAAAGTTAGGACTAACATTTTAATTTCTTTTAAAATTTCTAAAACTATAGAAATAAATTTCCCTGTACCAGCGAATGCTCGTGATAGAAAAAGCTAAAAAAAAACAAAAACAGGTTACTTGAGAGAAAAGTTTCATCATATCTTTTAAAACCAATACAAACCGCATTGATCCAAACTAACAAGGTTGCATAACTTTTTAATATATCACTTGGTTCATGTCCACTAATCGCAAATGAACAAGTAATTAACGGTAGGCCAAAGCTTGCCAAATCTAAATAATTAGCAAAGCTCATCCAATAGTTTTTCCACCGGCCCAGCATTTGACGAATTTCTTGAATCAAAAAGAGTATCGAGAAGGCCATCACGAAGCCGAGGAAGATCATTTTCCCATTAGTATGTTCATGGGGTGTTAGTTGAGGATCGATGCTAACAGTTAAACAGAATAGAAGCGCGTATATTAAATAAGCAAAGAATATCCATAAGAATCTCTTGCGTGCATATTTTTCCCTATCATATCCAAAAAAAAAAAAAAGAACATTATAAACAAGTCTGAAAAAAAAAAAAAATCAAATATTAAATACTAATGTATTAATGTGAAATTTACCATTTGAATTTGATAATGGCCTCCATAGAAACCTCACTAAACATTTCTAACGGTCCGTGTATTGCGGCTTCAGCATAAGGACTAAGTCTCTTAGGCGAAACGTATGTTGCCCAAAGTCTTTTTATGTATTCTTGAATAGAAGAATTCTTATTAATCTCTGGGGGTGCAGGATAGACACAAAAATCTGGCAATGGAACGACGCAAAGTTTTGCAGGGTGAGATTTCTGAACATTGTTTAATCGTTGTTGACGTTGACGTTTTCGATGCACATGAATTTGTTGAAAATCTTTTTTATCGTCACCAATAACATTTATAGTGAACACTGATGAACCAGCATTGAATCTATCAGATGGTGCAAAAGTAGCGGTTGTGGTTGTGGTTGTGGAGATAATAGTAGCATTTCTTTTATGGAATATATTACAAAACATTTTGGCAACTATCAATTTCCATATTGATTGATGAACTGAATTCTCTTTTGGTAGATGTGCATCTCGAGAGACAGTTTTTAACTCTGGATGAAAGCTCCTTTCTTCAATTTTCAATGGATTTCCTAACTTCGTTCGTAAAATTCGAGTGGGTGTCTCCAAAGAAGTTGTAAGATGACTCCATTCTCTCAATATTTTAGAACCTTTATCCGGATAATATCGATATAAATCTAATAACGCAGCTCCGACTGTCCATGCGAATCCGGGTTGTTGAATTCTCGCTCTTGAAATATCTTGCACTGAAATGACTGATGAAGGTTTCGAGTTACTATTCGGTGGTGTATAACTATCACGTACGTGACGTATTATATAAGAAATCAACTGATCAAGAAGATCAGATTTTTGAAGTTCAATCAACAAAGCTAAAGCACTTTCAGTTTGTTCGTCATTATGAAATAATGGAATATATTTTTCGTTGTTTAAAATTGCTGTGACTATGTCATCCCATTCAAATAATATAAAGTCTTCCATGGGATATATGTATTGACCATCGCCCAAAGATATTTTATTAAATGCCGAAGGAAATTTATCGATTGAATTTTGAATTAATTTTTTTAATTGAGCATGAATATCAAAACGCGAGACGTATGATGGATCTTCACCAAAAAGTAGACGCATAAGATTGGCGGACATGCATGCATCTATTAAAATTTGATATGTAAACTTATCATTTGCCTCTGGAAGTGAAATAATTATTGTCTCAGAATTCGTAAGTTGCACTTTAAGACGATAAGATGGCTCATGATCATCGTTTCCATCATCTTGCAGAGGTTTCAAAATTTCCAAGGACATGTACTTGATATCAGCTTCTTTATAATATGGAACCGTCCATATATATTGTAATTCAACTTTCAGAATTTGACCTTTTGGTTTTGTTTTGTATATCTGAATGCTATCATTTCCTGCCAATAAAAATCGATTTCCATCTTCATCCAACCATTGCATAAATAGATTGGGTGATATCCACTTCCTCCAAGGTTCAAATTTAAATCTACAATATACCTTTTCTTTTTTATGAATTAAAATCGAACATACGGGGTGTCCTAAACTTGAGTCGATCAATGAATTTAAGTCAAACCTTTGGCTTACGGGAGAACATTGTTGTACACAAGATAATTGTTTGATGGTTATTCGATAATTTTTCTCAGTTTTATCAGGAAACAAAGGATATTTTACAATTTTATTTCCAGTCGCGTGGACAAATTGATCATCGGCAAAAGCGAGAGGTTGATCTTTATCAATGTATGGATGGTCGTCTTCTTTAATCAATTTTCCACTCCAACAACACCATAATTGAACTCTAACATTGTCATCATACGTTGAACAAACAACGATTTGATCATGTTTACTCAAGAATGCAATAAAGAATACTGTCTTTGGCGTGTCAATCTCTAGTCTTAAGCCTGTTGGTGTATGAAATATTACCGTGCTTACCATTCCAGGCTTATTAGAGAATCTAATAATAAAAATAATATATAAAAATAATATATAAAAATAATATATAAAAATAATATATAAAAATAATATATAAAAATAATA